CTCGCCAATATTTGTCATATGAAGAATCTTCCTATGACAAATAGTGTCATAAAAGAGCGTATATATGCGTATGTCGTATTTGTCATAGATGCAAGCAGAACATGTTGGTATATCACACTGCCGCTCACGGACATTCACAAAAATATGGATAAACCTGTACACGATCAAGCAAGTGTGTGTCCGTTCTACAGAGGTGGGTTAACTATGTAACTGCCACTCGCGGGGAAATGCGAAGTGTCTTTTATAGACAGGTGCCCTTCTATATCACGAGTGACATGTATGATCTGTGTACAGAGATATGACATTTATAACGGGAATGCGCGAGCGGGCTTGAGTGCGTATACGCGACGGCTAAGCGCTTTCATCTGTTTACATATATAAATGCAGAAACTAAATATATACAGCGAACGGATGTATTTTTTTTCGCGGCTTTCTCGCCCACGTGAACATCTGGTTGTCAGATCTGAACCCGCAAAGTTTATACCGAAAAATATGTCACTGCTCGCAGGAAAAAAACTGCGAGCGGTACTAGACGTATCGTTGCTGCTCTTAGCGTTGCTGTTGCGTGTGCGTACGTACGTTCACGACTGCGTGTATCTGCGTTTCGCTCGGGTTTCATGAGAATTGCCTCGAGAGTGGAATGTGTTTTTACGTTACTCCACCGCCATCAGCAATACAATGCAGCTAAGCATTCACGATCGATGCACGTATATTTCATTTTTATTCGGAAATAAAATTTCTAAAACGAATTCTAAAACATTATCGATCAAACTATAAACAAAATTCCTTGCACGCTTACCTCTCCATCTAGCTAGCCCACGGCTACCTCTCCGTCTAGCTAGCCCACGGCTACCTCTCCGTCTAGCTAGCCCACGGCTACCTCTCCATCTAGCCAGCCCACGGCTACCTCTCCATCTAGCTATCCCACGGCTACCTCTCCATCTAGCTATCCCACGACTACCTCTCTATATAGCTATCCCACGGCTACCTCTCCATCTAGCTATNTACCACCACCACCAGCAGCACCAGCAGCAGCAGCAGTAGCAGCAGCAGCACGACCACCACCACCAGCAGCACCAGCAGCAGCAGCAGTAGCAGCAGCAGCACGACCACCACCACCACCAGCAGCAGCAGCAGCAGCAGCAGGCGTCTCGAGTTCTGTACGCGTACAAGGCCGTGAGTGCTGGATGTGCGGGAGGAGAGGCAGCAGCAGCAGCAGCAGCAGCAGCGGCAGTGGGGAGAACACATACCAGCATCCATTGAAGGAAAACCGAACCAGAGCGATAAACAACGCGTGCGGAAGTGGAGCGAGAATGGAGAGCAGAATGAAGAATGATGTCTGCCTGCTCGCACTTAGAAGAGGCTGTATAGAGAGGATGCCTGCTGATAGGGGAAGCTACAGAAGAGGTAGCTGATGTGAAGGAAAGCTACAGAGGAGGTACCAGCTGCTGGGGGAAGGTATGGAGAGAAAGTACCTTCTATTAAGGAAAGCCATACAGAGAAGGTGTGGTAGTCGGTAAGCTGTAAGGTACCAGCTGTTGAGAGAAGCCATTCAGAGAACGTACCTTCTGTTAGAGGAAGGTATACAGAGAAGGTACCAGCCGATGAGGAAAGCTATATAGAGAAAACATCAACTGCGAGGGGAACGCATAGAGAGAAGGTACCAGCTGCTAGGGGAGGCTATACAGAAAAGGTACTTTCTGGTAGAAGAAGGTATACAAAGAAGGTACTAGCTGTTATAGGAAGCTACGCAGAGAAGGTACTAGCTGTTATAGGAAGCTACGCAAAGAAGGTACCAGCTGCTAGGGAAGCTGTACAGAGAAGGTACTAGCTGTTATAGGAAGCTACACAGAGAAGGTACTAGCTGTTATAGGAAGCTACACAGAGAAGGTACTAGCTGTTATAGGAAGCTACACAGAGAAGGTACTAGCTGTTATAGCAAGCTACACAGAGAAGGTACTAGCTGCTAGGGGAAGCTACACAGAGAAGGTACCAGCTGCTAGGGGAAGCTACGCAGAGAAGGTGCTAGCTGTTATAGGAAGCTACACAGAGAAGGTACTAGCTGTTATAGGAAGCTACGCAGAGAAGGTACCAGCTGCTAGGGGAAG